CTTTCCCTTTCCTTCTAGGCAGCACCAATGCAGAAAAGCGCCCTGAGAAGACAGGGACTTCAGGACTTCCCAGGACATTGATGGAAGAGGTGCCGTCTCCAAAAGAGGAACAGGAAATGAAGAGCATAACCCAGAGTGCAAGGAAGCTCCTCACACATGTGGCAGAAGGGAGGCTTAGAGAAAAGTGCTTTGAAAAAAACACATGCAAAGGCAGTACTCCCTTTTGCAGTTGCTGCTCTGCTTCCAGGGCTGGGAAGGCAGCATGGGTTGACCATGCACCAGAGGGCTGCCACGAGATTGCCAAGACTCTGAGTGCACCATCCTCATTCTAGAGCTTTCAAGAGCAGTTGGCTGCATTCAAGGTCGGCTTGCTCATTGGTAAGAACTGCTGTAAAGAAGTGAAGCAGCAGTCTCAGCCCAGGTCTGCCCCTTTCCCTCAAGAGCTGCTTTGATGCTGAGCGTCTCCCCCTTCACCCCCACCTGTGTTGGGCTGCCCCTGCATCACAGCTATGGCCCACAATTCCTCAAGCCCTGGCCCTGATCCTGACCCGCTAGCTTTCACCTTGGGCCTGCTCTATCACTCCAGAGTTCCTGGGTGATCACTGAGCTGAGCCTGACACTGATCAGCAAGGGGGTGAAACAGCGCATCAGTTTAAAAACCCATGTTCTTCTCTTTCTACAGGAAAGATCCTGCAGCCATGATCTACAAGGATTAAGAGAAAGGTCAATTCTCCTTCAAAAAATCTCTTTTCAAGGAACAGGGAAATGGGAGAAACAAAAGAGAAGAAAGGTACTATAGAACCTAAGGTAATAAAAGCAAACAAGACTAGAAGTGCAAGTGAAAAATCTTGTCATCTGATCTAGTTTTCAAATGACACATTCTCATACAACAGTTTCCTCTGCTTCTCTGCACAACCTGAGACACTTCTGAGCTTTGTGGTGCCAGCCATGCATGTTCCCAAGAGGCACAGCCACAACACAAAGACTACAGGATCAAGCATAACAGACCACTAAGTTCAGTGGAACAAAAGCGACTGTGTGTTCAGAGACACGCCCAACAGGCACAGCAGGGAAGGGTGAACACCCATGGTCACAGAAGACTTTATCCACTTGTCTTTCCTCCTCCTTCCACATTCACCCTGTCCCCTGAGGGCGTGAGAATGCCAAACATGGTACCCCAGGCTCAGACAGATGTCTGTCTCTCCCCCCACTACCCCCAACATCCCTAATCTCTATTTAACTCTTCCCCACTTTACTACACATTAGAAATTTGTTTAGATTTAGCCAACATTTCACTGATGGTTAGATGCCAAGATTGTAGAGTTAACATTACCATAAAATAACTGTGTCTTTATTAGGTAGAGAGAACTCCACCACCTAAGGCTGCTAACATATAGCAGGGGTACACAGAGAAACCCTCCCCCCAAAATCTCCTTGATCAAAGTATGAATCGGGTGAAGGACCAAATGGAGGACATGATATCGCAAAGGATAATCAACTGATAGAACTCATTAGACCTGATAGTCTACTTTGCTCTGTCATCCTGTCAGTGACCAGAGCATGGTGACACCATTCAGGTCAGCAGGGAGGAGAATTTGTTCCCTTCCCACTAACACGTGTTTTTGACAGGGTTCAAGGATACCATCTTATTCCCAGCTTTCCTTTCAGGCTTACGGAAGTAGTATGCGGAAAGTTGTGAAGACATGCAATAATGCAGTTGGTATTGCTATTTTGAAAGCAGTTCTGGAGACCAGCAGCTTTCACCAGTGAAGAACACTGTGGAGTTACTAGAAAGACTGAAAGACACCTTTATACGCACATCTCCTTATACAGCTCTCCTTTACAGCCACTCACAAAATAAAAGCCACACACTTCTGTTGTTCAACATTGGTTGTATTTAAGAACTACACTTCAGAAGGTACCGTGTGTTTGTCACACCCCACCCCCTGCACACACACCCCTAGCAGAGAACACACACAGCTTCCCAATACCATGGCAAGGGGCATTGAAAGCACAAGGTGAAAAGGGAAGGGGGGGGAGTCAGTCCATCAGTGCATTGTAAATGAGCTTTCATGAAGTCAAGTGCAGCAAAACCTGTTCAGACACTTTAAAAGTTAGACCTTTGGCAAATAAAGAAAAAAAAATAGGATCCTAAAGTTCTGTAAGTACCATTCTCTCTCCACACGGGATATAAACTCCCACCCTGAGCTTCAAGAGTTGATGGTGTCTAACAAGTAGTACTGGAGACTACCATGTGCTGAATAAATAGCACAGAGATGGGATTTCATTTTAGCATCTTTCAATCAAGGGCATGTGCCCAGGATTCCTGGAAAGGCCTTGCTTTTGGCCAGAGTCAGCAGCTTAGCCTTCGTCCCCACTTGCCCAAAGGCTGGGCATTGGTAAGTATCCAGCTGAGTGACCTTCGTCTGGATCTAACCACAGCTCTGGAGAGTCTGCGACAAGTAACATGGCAGTCAGACTACTCAGTGACACAGACATATTTCTTTAAACAAGGACCCTGCAGCTGCCAATTACACTTCATTTGTTCTGACCTGTAAAGCAGCCAGAAAACTAACCCCTGGGACCTGTTTGAGAAGCCTTTCACCTTTGTGCAAAGACAAGCTCACTGCAAGTGGTGCAGGAGCTGTCCCAGAAAAAGATGGGACCCGAGGCCAAAGATGGAACACTTCTTGAGCAGCATGTTCTCAACACTTTTATCAATCTCATGTCAGAACAAGCCCCAAAAAACAAGGGGGAAAACACTGGGAAGTCTCAACAGAACAAATTCTCCACTATTCTCTGGGATGAGATATATGGGCTATGAAACAGCTTCTCCCACCTCTAGCTCTTGGGACCCATTACAACCACATCAAATATACAAGACCTTTGCACACCCCCCCCCAAACCAGGGACAGCAGTGCAGTGCACCTCTGGGAATAAAAAAGCCAGCCTCCATACAAGCCTAAGGCTTTTGCATGGAAGAGGAGGAGGAGGAAAGCAAAATGATTTTTCAGGGTGATTGCCAAGGACTCAAACAGAGGCTTGCCTGGTTCCTGTGCCCTGGTCTTCTCACTTCCTGGCCTGCCATGTCAAGTCCCAGAACACAAAAAGGATCAAGATAAACTTAACCACATTTAAACAGAAAGCCCTGACCTCTTTCACATGACTGTACAAGGAAGGGAACCACACACTGGCATGGATTTAACTGATGGACAGGAGCCACACAACATCACACGAACATGTGCACCTGTGCGCAGCCACACACACTCGAGTTCTTGCAGTTCCAGTAAAAAGGGCACTTTCCCATGTTAGTCCGAGGAGTCAGCACCCCTGGTTGGGAGAAGGGAGGCTCTGTACCTGTCTGACACTGCATTTTGACAGTCTAGCTCGGCACCCCAGGGGAATTTCTCTTAAAAACATGGCTTAACCATTCAAGACTTGGAGAATGCCCTGGCATTTATGCATCTCCCTTCATAACGCTACATCCCCTTTTAACCGCACTGCAGCTTCAGAAGAGCAGGAGAGAAGCCTTCACTCCCCAGAGAAAGCTGTCGCAAAGGAGGTTTATCTAGACTCCTACAACACAGATGCTATTTAGAGAGCACAGGATTTGGTGCTCACACACTAGATTAATTCACTCTGATCTCTACCCTGTACTAAGTCCAAAGCATAGATGTCTTAAGTTGAAGAAATTGAATGATTTGTCCAGTTGCTCATTACACACGGGCCATCTCACATGTTTGTTTCCATTATACAAAAAGGTTCCAGAGTTGAGCATGGACAGGTCCTCTAACAACAGAGGACTGTGAAACCAATCACTTCCCATCTCATATCCACTGCAGGCACCAACATACAAACCCAGCCAGGAGGCCCAAACGCCATGAGGCCGAGGAAACAAGATCACTCCTGGATCTCCTCCAAGCTCTTCTTCAAATGCCTGACAATCCTGAAGCAACACATCCGAGTGCCAGAAGCCACACTTCTTGTTGTGGCAAACAGGGCAGAGGGAGAAAAAAAAACAAGTTAGTGAGCATGAATCCAGCTTCCAATAAGTGCAGACTCTTTCTTGGGAGGTTCGGTTAGATGAGAGTGGAGGATGAATGGGGTACTAACGGTTTTGCAGTTCCAGTAGCCCCCTTCATTGTAGTGGGGCAGGGATGGGCCAGGAGACCCATCAGTCTGTTAAGTGCTGCGTGCAATACTAGCGCTCAGTATCTTCCATTGCTTGTGAACAAAGCAGCTCCAACATCAGTCACCCGGGCAGCCAGGCATTAGTCATACCGTCCCTTAATCATCATATTCAACAAGGGACCCACCTGTTCAAAGCAAAAACAGATCGTTAGCCAGGACAGTTACACAGAAATGGCACCTGCAGAGCCTGCTCACTCTGCATCCCAACACCTTATGAGCTGAGCAGCCCAGGGCAGAGGATCTCAGTGCATAAACTGAGCCTAAGGTACACCGAATCACTTTAAAAGTATTTTCTAGATAAAACACTGGGGCACTCTTGAGCACCTCCTCAAATACCCTACCAAAATTGCAGGGTTCTCTGCTAACACCCAACTTCAGTTGTCTTCAAAACATTGCATCAATGGTATTTATTTGAAACTTTTTAACTTCCCACCCTAGATTTGTGATTTCTCAGTAGATGCTATTAAAAAGAGCCAACAGTCATCAGGGGTTGCTTTTTGCAGGGCACAGAAGGAACATTCTTACTCACTGAATCCTCTCTGGTCCTTGGGATCCCCTGGAAGGCTAGGACTGATGATTTTGCTAAGGTTTTGTTTCAGTCAAGACCACTCCCATTTCTCAGCACTGTATGATCACTGAGGGAAGTTCAGTGTGCTATGGCAGTAAGATAATCTCAGGGAAGAGGCATGATCTCACACGAGTGTGCTAAAGAGGAGTTTCTGCACAGTGGTAAGGGTTACAGACCATGAAAACATTTCTGTGCACATCCTGTATTTCCCCTTCCAGATCAGCAGGAGATCTTCAAAAGCATACTTTTAGTACTTCAATCTGTTTTTTTTTAAATACCAGTTGGTTAAAATTACAAAGAATTCAGAGATGACAGAGACAGGCATTAAGGGGGAAGCACATGAGATTTCTCTTATTTAAGAAACTTGGATTCAACAGGTAGAACAGTTTTTTGGGGTTTTTTTGCTTGTCCGGTTTTGGGTTTGGGTTTTTTTTTGGTGGGTTTTTTTTGGTTTTTTGGTTTTTTTTGCAAATACTGGGTATCGTTGCTGCACAGAAGGCTAAGGAGAGTTTGGGAGCAATGCTTTCCTGGCAGTGCCCAAAGCCAAGGTACACCTTCCCCCACATACAAGAACAATTACTCCACTGTTTGTAGTGGTCCTCTCCAGAATTATAATTTAAAGAGCTTGCCTTTTTGTAGCCAAAGGACCTTCTGAAGACAGCAGGAAGAACCATTCACAGCAACAGAGCAACCCTTTCTCCTACCCTCACTGTGACACCTGCAGAGCCAAATAGTTGGCATCTCGAGTTTTGCATTAAGCCATAACAATTTCAACAGCACTGACTATATGGTTCTTTTTTGTACCTCTTGTGGATTTCCTAAGGCTTCTCCCAACATCTTCTCAATGTTCCTCATTATCGCCACTTTCTGATGAGCCTTTAACGGATACTCAATTCTCTTTGGGGTTGGGGCACCCTGAAATATCAAAAATAGCTCATTGCATGCTTCCTGAATTGGCAGATTATTCCACCTTCTCCCAGCCACCCAGTTCTTCAAACACCACTCGAAAGGGAGAAAGTAGCTTTCAGCTTTAAAGCAAAGGATTTGGTGCAATGAAGTTCTCATATTGACAGCACGTGCCAATACATCCCACCTGAAAAAATCCTCTGGGATAGAGCTATCCAAGTTGCGCAGGAAGGTGTTTGTACTCACCTTGTACCAGAAGTTCACAGTGATGGTAATCCCCCCATTCAGGAGAGACTCAATGTGGTGCCACCTGCATGGAAACCATACAAAAAAGAAAAGAAACTATTGCTGTAGCTTATAGTGAAATACCTTGGATGGATGAGTTCAGACTGGACTAGACAAGCCTTGCCCTATACCTCCATCATCAAGACCTCAGAACTTCTGGAAAGCTCTCCTTATTTAAATATAGATCCTTTTCTTGCACACGTTAGTGGAGTACTTGCACAATAACAGTGTCAGGAAGAATTACCACTCCCATCCAACAGACAGGAAGTAGAAGCAGATTGGCCCAAAATATTCCAGAACGTATCCTACTTGCTGGAGAAGTCTGCCCAGAGAGGTTGTGGATGCCCCATCCCTGGAAGTGTTTTAAGGCCAGGCTGGATAAGGCTTTGGGCAACCTGGTCTAGTGGAGGGTGTGGAACTAGATGATCTTTGAGGTCCCTTCCAACCCAAACCATTCTAAGATTGTATGAAAATTCTCTTAAGAGCCAACCCAACACTTTAAGCAGAAGACTTTTTAAACCTTTGTTTGCTGATCGCTGTGCAGTCCCAACATCCTTCTTACCAGTACATGGGTATGTATAGGACATCCCCTGGACCCACCACCGTCTCATAGCCAACCACGCTCCGGAAGTTTGGAAACTTCTCATAGTCAGGATTGTCAAAGTCCACCTAATGGAAGAAAACATTAAGAAACTCATAAGAACTTCCTGCAATGACAATCCTTATTATTGGCGCTCAGTATCAAATCCTCCAGATCTTCTCTATATGGCTTTTACATTGATTCACGTCTTAACTCCATTGTGAGGTCCTGCAGTACCCTAAAAGTACCACCAACTGAGACATCTGAACAAATCTGTGTTTGACCAAGTGATCAATGAAACAGAACAGAGAAGGCAGAAACTGCAGCCCAATTATGCTATCAGCAAGATGTTTACAGCTCTAGCACTTGCAAGCCAGGATCAGACACAGACACACCACCAGTCCTTCCATCCATTTTCAACGTATTCAGCAATTAACAGATCTGAACGCAGGTTTTGCAAAAGCTCAGCAAGTGGTATGCAGCTTTAACTCCAGCGCAGCTTCCTCCCACCCAGCATCTCCACAAATGCCCTTTTTTAGCATGGAGCAGAGAACAGATCTGCCTCTCACCTGGCTCTGTCTGTCACACGGATGATGCACAGGATAAGGGTAGAGGCATTCAAACTGATCAGGAGGGAACAGGATACACCTCTTGTAACCCTTAATCTGAGCGAAGAAGTTCTGCTGCTCATCATAATGAGCTGGTGTCACATTCCCTATGGGGAGAGAAAAGATGATGATCGAGACACTCTTATGTACACGTATGAAAGATGGAAGCAAGTTATATTCCTTGATAAAGACAGTAAATACACTCCCACATATTCAGAAAACTAAATAAGGAAAATGACCGCAGGAATGTTAGAAATTGATCGCTGTATCAGTCAGCCTTTATTGAGCAGTTGCGATCCCACTTAATTTCCCTTCTAAATCCCTACTCAGCAACTCAAGCTCTACAGGATTAGGATTTCCAGCTTGTTTCCATGAACAGCAGATGGTGAGTGTTGACAGGAAGCTTTTTCATAAAACACTGTTTAGATGACAAGTTGTGGAATGGACTTATTAGTCTAGAGAAAAGGAGTCTAACAGTCTGATTTTGAAAAAAAAGTCCTAGTAGTTTTGCAAGAAAACAAGTAAACAAATCGCTGTCATTGGGGGTACCAACAGCACCTCCTCAGTGTGATTAACGGTTATGAAGCTTGACTGTCACCACTAGATCTTGAATTTAATCAAATATTATTTAAATAGAGCGGGTCATTTTGTACGCCTCAGAACAACATTTTTCAGTCTGTTTGCTAATTCAGATATTAATCTTTTAGCTTGTTTTTATATGTATTTTCACTAAAAAGAATTAAGGTAACAGTTAACCCCCTAACTTCATTAAACAGATCATACAATCACATGTTCCTGTAAAGACACTCCTTTTATCTAGCACACACTGGTTCGAGACAATTTCTTGGTTCTTGTGCATAACCTGTCGATAATAGGATTTTAGTGATCATTTTATGACCTGTAGGGAAGAGTTGGTGCAGTGCTTTTATATGAAGTTCTCTCCTCTCAGCTAATAAAACAAGTGGCAAACTACTGTAAAGTTGAGTATGACTTGTCACAAAGGGGAAAAAACATCTGCTGTCAGAACTGAACAGCCATGAACTGCCAAGTAATTAGAATTGGTCCATGACAATTGGATGTGATGGCCACACTGATTATAGGCCATCCCACTTCACGAAACCATGTACATTCCTTGCCCTGTTATTGAGATTACTTTCTACTAGAATGCTCTCCTTGTCAACAGCGTAGTAGTACCTCTGTCTAAGGCACCTGCCTATCAGTCAGTCTCCACATGGATTTGGAACTCCACTCCATCCAGATATTTTTAGGATTTACCCACCTTCAAGTTCTCCAGTGCCCTCTAACCTTCCAAGAAGAAATTCAGCTCTTAATTGAAAGAGAATTCCTCCCCACAGTGTACCAGATCAAATAAGAACAAATGCTTCACAGAACAATCAACATTTCCTCCTGGGTAGACACTGGACATGCTAAGCCCAGAAGACACAACTTAGCTCAACTTGCAAACCCTTTTGCATCTTAAAACTGCAGACTCTGAGCATTTTAAGTCTCCAGCACCTGAAGCATCCAAACAATAAACAGGTCTCAGAATATGATTAGCAATTACTGAAAACACAGCCCTACCAGCATCACACAGAGCCTTTCCATAAGGAGATTACATCCAGGCATTCAAGTACGTCCCTGGGGAAACACAGGCTATTCCTTTGGTTGTTACCTCTCTATAACCCAAGTTAAGTTGTGACAACAGTCACAACACAAAGCTTAAAGTGCCTGCTCTGAAAGAACACTTATGAACTAGTGGAAAATCCATTTGAAAGACCTTCTGGAACTGAAATACAGAGCTGCTGACCAAATCTTCTCCCCTCCTCCTCCAGCCAGAGGAAACCGCTTACCTTCCATGCCAATAAGAAGCAAGTTAGAAGTCAGTTGACCCCAGCCACGTTTCCCTTGCTGCTTGTTAATCCAGTTCCAGTTGAAGCCAAGGAAATCCACGACAATTTTCCTTCCAACTGTGTCATTCAGCGTTTGCTGCAGATATAGCCTGTATTTTCCCAGAGACAAGCAGAAATCAAGTATTAAGCTTTGTCACGAACATAAAGAAATATCTTGCGATCTCTTCAGAAAGATTTCAAAACAAAGAAACATAACTCCTAGAGATGCTGTTCTATCACTACATGCCACAAACACCTGTGGAAGGAAACAGTTTCAAAAAGTCCCCAGACTTTGCTGAAAGACTTCCTGGTACAGAAGGGAACAGAACTCAGTTCTGCTTGAACAGTCACAAAGAAAAAAAGAGAAATTTAGAGCAAGAACAACCCCCTCACAGTGCAGGAGGAGGAAACTGTAAACAGGCCACTATCAAATATCAAACACACTCATGAATAATCCCCAGATAAATGCCAACACTCTCTTTCATCTGCAATAAGAGTTACTTCTACTAGAAATGTGTGAGAGCCAAAATGAGCTCAGGAAACTCAGCACGTTTCAGTATCAAGTTAATTTAAAGCCACACTTACATTTAGACATAGAGGATCAGAGGAATCAAACACCTGTATTAACAACCACAGTATTACAGAATACTGTCTGTCTACAATGGTGGAAAGAAAATGCATTTTTAAGCTCAAGGACTGCCTTCTCTCTTGCAAAAAACACACCCGAAGCTGAGAAAAAAGAGAAAGGTACAGACAACAAGAGGACAAGGACACAGAGTTGCTTCCAATTCAGACACAATTAAGCATCCCTAAGTCTTTTTAGAGAGCTGGTGACCGATAAAATTAACTGAGGGTTTAAGTACAGTTGTTAATAGTTGTATTCCATATAAATGTGAAGCTCCTCTCAATAACTTACAGCTCTGTTAGTGGTGTAGGCCATCGCCACCACCAAATACACTGCACATATACAACCTTTTCTCATCTTTCTGTAAGAGGGTTAGCACCAGCTACCTTGATATTCTGTAAAAAAGGCCGAGAGCTATAGCCTGTACCTTTTAATCAGATAACTAAGCTCCTCTACTAATACCATAGCCTGCCAAAAGAAAGTGAATCTTGAGGTTTTCTCTATCCAAACCCTGCCTCAGATGGAGAAGGAAATAAATCTCTGCAGACAATATGAACAGTTTGATTAACTAATGGTATGACTTTTTTAATCAGCTAACAAGGCTGCTGTCAAGTAGCTGCCCTTCAGGAAAAGCAGGGCTATAAAAAAAATGAAAAGTTTGAGAGGTCTTAATGATCAACACTCACTGAAAAGAAACTTACCCCCTACTTAGACCTGCAGAAATGGAGAAACCTCCATGTATCACTCACCTCTCAGCACTCCCTTTTTGTTGTATTTCTTTGAGTCTCTCCACAAAATCAGCAAACTTCATCTCTTCCCTGCTCGACTTGGGTTTGAAGTTCTTAAAATTGGCCATCTTCTTCTCATCATAGTACAAAAACTTGTGTGTGCTGGCACTATACACTGAGAAGTCCCCATTGCCAATGTTTTCCTGGAGGTAGTCCAGGTCCCATTTCAGAGCAGGATAAACCAGATTTGTATCTGTCAGCACCACTGGCTCCTGGAGAGAAACAGGAAGTGTATTGATTCAAGGACCTCTTGAACTTGAGAACAATCACATTCATTACTGCAACCACACAAACTCTCTTGGAAAACAGGGAATTGGAAAAGACATTTAGAGTAATCAGATATCTTGGTTGGGGGAGAAAAACAAACAAAACATTATAGGAAGTTTTAAGAAAGTGGTGGCCTGCTTCTACAGCAAGCTCCTGGTAGCAATGGGACAGATTGTGCTATCTACTTAGCTAATCTCTAACACATGAGGTTAGACAAACATGAGCTGGGAACAGTTTTAGGCCTACTTGGTCCTGCCACGTAGCAAGGAGACACAACAGATTCTGTCTGGTCACTTCCAGCCTCAGCTAGGAAAGGGTAAATGCTGCTACCTCTGAATCCAGAAAAAGAGACAGCACTCATCTCTTCTCAGAGGACTGCAGATAACCTTCAGCCACAGGAAAACTGAGATTACCCCATCTCTTCTACACCAAAACCAGAACCACTATAAAAGGAAAACAAAGGACATCACCTATCTCCTCAACTATAAACAGTAACCAACCAAACCAAGAATGACAGCTGCTGTGTTTCCCAGCTGTGCGTGCACAGCTCTCCTTCTTGCAGGCTTTCTTTAAAAAAACCCAAAACAACCAGCAATCTTACCAAAACTAGATGGAACTTGTCCATAGCCAATACAAGAGCCACAATTGCAAGGCAACCTGTGCATCTGTGGCCGCTCTCACTTAGAAAATAGCGAGCATGTGCCCATGGTTTTACACATTTCCACGATTTCCATCCGGAAAACAAAGCACTTAGAGCAAATGTTTCCTGCAAGTTTCACAACTCAGCACCGTGGGACCAAAAAGAAATGTCCACTACAAGTAAGAGGGACGGGACAGCGGCAACAACCAAGCCCGCGCGGGGAGGACGCAGACAGCCCGCTAGCGCAGAGGGACAGAGCCGGGATGGGGAGATGAGCGCACCCGGGACGGCACCGGGACCCGGGAGAGCCTCGCA